CCTCCCTTTTTTTTTTTTTCCATATATCGTCAGCAAATGATAAATTTCTTTTCAGTTTTTATTGAATAGATGTCACGCATGCCTCCTTTTAGACTATTTACTTTTGCTAGTTTTGTTCCATTATAAATATGTATTTCCCCAAATTTACCTTCAAATTCGTTTTCCAGATAATTAATAGCTGTCCACCAAATCTGAGTTTGGGGACAGTTTTAATAATAAGTTACAGATTATAGATAGGGGGAGAAAGCCAGGATGCATATAATGGTTAAGACATTTTCTCTTAATGTTAGGTTCACTTATATTTTTATAATACTTACTTAAGACATGCTACAACATATGCAATGAGAACTTCAGTTGTTTTTTTTTCACAGTTTTCCTATACATAGAAAATGTGCAAACTGAATAAATTTGCAGCAAAAGAATAAAAATTATATTAATAACTGTCAATTTATTACAAATAAGGATTGAAAACAATCATGCAATACCTCCAAGTAATTAAGCACCTCTAATATAAATGAATTATACATATATAAACTTTGAATTGCATTTAGAATGATTTGTCATGTCAATTATGTTCAGCCATACCTAGTCTTTAGCTTAAGAGCAGATGGAATGTCAGGATTGATAAAAATACTTGAAGCTAAACATGTTACAGTTGATAGTTGTCCTATTTTTTTGAAATGTTATAGAACAATGTGAGAATTGTATATGGAGGAATATGGCTGTATGTTGCCTAAAATAGAGTAACCTATTTTTTTGTCTACTGAATGGGTGCATTTTTATCTATTAGAAGGTAAATAGTGTTTGAAATTTAAAATGCAATATCTTACCTATGAATTTTGTGATGATCACGGCCATAAAGACAATGATTGGTTTATTTTCATTTCCTAAAAACTGAACTTCTCTAAAGAGGTGTACAAAGTCCTCCCAAACTGTGCCATTTATTAGATCATTCATGAGGCAAACATGATTTGTGAAAAAAAAAAAAATAGAACAAATGTCTATATGGAAAAAAAATTGAAGTTGATTAATGTGATTGATAGACGTATATAACAAAAACAATTAGTATGACTACCCATAGTCACCAAATTACTAAAAACTATGGGTAGATTATAACTTTACAGGAAACGAAGATATAGTTCAAGATTCAAGACAACATTACTTTAAATCTATCCATTCAAGAACCATATAAGTTGCAAAATCAAGCTAAATCAAAGAGGTGCTCACTACTGATCAGCTTACAGGTCTGTCTTCCTCTCAACCTCCCAAGAAGAACATGTGAACCTGGTATCTACAACAATAATATTTTTAAAAGATACCACAACCAATTACATGACCTACATAGGAATAAATCTCATCAAAACAAATAAATAATTTATTGAAATTGACCTACTGCAAATGCATGAAGGAAAATACTTCCCATAAATTCAGAAATTCAATAAATAACTAAAAATTTATTATGACGTATGATTAAGTGGAATAACTTGATTTAAAGTAACATCTACTTGTTTGAATATTTATAGCATGCATCAGCCAAAAATTAATTATACCAGCTACCAAACTTTCACCAAATCAAGCAGATTCAATATAAATCAAGCCAATCAAATTCTCTTTCATACAATAAGTAAAATAAAAAAATCCTTAATCTAAAGAAGCTAAAACATGCAAAATCATGGGAAATAGTAAGCTGAAATTGAAAATTTGGCACTAAAAATTAAAAATGTTAAATACACCTCAAACATAATCTTGATTGCCAAATTCTCCAAACTCCACACGTGTACACCACTATAATGAAAATCATCTTGATTGCAAATGATCAATAATAAAGCAAAGACATCATATTATACTAGGGGATAAGGAATCAAATTACAGATTAATTAAGTAATGTGAATCACAAAATGATTTCTCAAATATCCAAAATATTTAGGAGTTATATAGCTATAAGAGTTGAAACAAAGAGATTCTGCTGTGATCCCTCAAATTAGTGCTTTGATAATATTTGCCTAAATTAGGTGCCCACTTTTGATGAAAAATTTTCATACAACTGTTGAAAACAATAAGAAATATTCTTTTATCTATTTTCATTTTCAAGTGGCAGCATGATATTTTTTACATAAAAATGATAAGAAGGGTGCAAATTATTATAGTAAGGAAAAAATAACTATAACAAATGAAATGAGGTTATTCCCATTAGCAAACAATAATATAGAATTCATCTCGTTGATTGAAGCGTAAAAGATCTCAGGTCCAATAGATAAAAATTAGATTGCCTAACAAAATTTTATTTCTACTTGGCTTTAAAGAAAATTAAGGGAAAATGAAATTGCAAAATTATTGTAAAGAAAAAAAAAGAGGCTGAATTATGTTGTTGTTATCAATTTGTTTTTTCTCATGTTCAACTGTGGTGTCTTCAAAGTCTTCCTGTCTTCTATTTTTTTAGGAAAACTTTCATGGTCTTGTTTTGTAATATGCCATACCAGACTTATCTGCATCATTGTTTATGTGACAGGAAAATACAGGAGTCTCAGATGAAGATTTTGTCTCCTATGTAAATAAATTGTATGAGGTTGGGGTTTCCCTTGTAGGAGGTTGTTGTAGAACTACTCCAGATACTATCATAGCCATATGCAAGACATTTTCACATAGATCGGCTATTGCACACATTCAGAAATTAATTACAGCAGCTTGATATTATTTATGCAACCAGGATGCTGAGGTGCCTTAACTTTAAGTTTCTACTTCTTTCCCAATTTTAGTCTGAAGAGAATACCTGTCACAAGCTTTGCCTAACATCTGGTCTGAATTGCTTCTGTATTATAGCTGCTGAGATTTTGGTTTCCTTAAGGGCATGCAGCTTGTATCAGTTTCTTGATCTAAAAAAAATAAAACATGCAAAATCAAGGGAAATAGTAAGCTGAAATTGAAATTTTGGCACTGAAAATTAAAATTGTTAAATATACCTCAAATATAATCTTGATTGCCAAATTCTTCAAACTCCACATGTATACAATATGAGAATTGTCTTGATTGCAAATTATCAATGATAAAGTAGATACATCATATTATATCAGGGGGAATAAGCAATCAAATTACAGATTAAGTAATGTGAATCACAAAATGATTTCTCAAATATCCAAAATATTTAAGAGTTGTATAACTGCAATTACTACAGAGAAAAAGTCAACACTTTTAAAACTTTCATAGCACTAATATCAAAAAAAAAAAAAAAGAATATTAAAAATCTCAAAATAGTTAATTATATGTGCTTCACATATGTTTTGTCCAATTTTCTCTGAATAATAATATTGCTCAATAAATAACAGAAAATACCTAGCATAGGAAGATTTATAAACATGAATTTTTTTCCATCCCTTCCACAACCTTGTAGGTACAGAAAAATTCTAAATACTTCATTCATTCAAAATTTAAAATGTCTTGGTGCCTAATTGATCTTATAAAGGTATAATCGGTTAAATACCTCTCCCTGTGGTGATACCCGCAATTGACTTCTGCACCCCAGGATTTGCAACCACCAAGGCACCAACATTGTGCTGAGTCATCTGAAAAGAAATGAACTAAATAAGCATGCATATCAAGTATTCAATGACAGTTTTGAGATTTTATGAAAATCATAAAGAGACCTATCGACTTCACAGCATTGTAGACAGTGTCATCTGTAGTGCACCAAAGCCAAGAGCAATCTGCATCTTTACCTTTTGCTTTCAAAATGTCAGCAATAGTGGTACTCTCAAAGCCATGCTCTTCCATACGAGCAGATGAATCCGATTTGAAGCGGAAAAAAGTAATGGGTCGCATTATTGGATTGACTACCTGAATGTGTTGCAAGATCGCATTTCTTATAGTATTTCCATGTAAAAAAAAAAGTTTGAACTTCCCCTTGCATTCTACCAACTGTTACAATTAATTAGCTACAATTAGCGCGTGGATGACAAAGCACTGACATCAAAACCCAAAAGCTAAATCAGAAAAAAAAAAAAAATTCACATACATTGACCTAATACCAAGCATTCAAACTTTCAAAGCTTTATTCAAAAATATAAAACAAAAAAGACCTCACCTTTACACTGCATGTTCTGATCAACATGCAAAAGTATATCAAAAACAAACTTTAATTTAGGAGTCAAGAGCTGAAAAACTAAATTGGTTTCATCTTAAACAAAAAAAAAAAAAATGAAAAATGACGTTTTTTTTATGTCTTTTTTCTTTGGCTTCATCAGCTTAAAATACAAAGAACCAAAGCCCCATTTTTAAAACTTCAGAACTTCTGAAAAACCCGAATATTGCTCCACAATTGTTGATAACAATGGTTAAAAGAAAACCACTCTTTCTCCTTCATTTGTTTCTCTCTCTATATTCCTCCATTATACTCAAACAAATAAAAATTCTCAAAATAAAAAAATGGAATAATATGAAAAAATCATACCGATCGGTGAAGACATTCAAACTGTAAAAGAAATGAAGTAGAATGAGAAAGAAACTCTTTTTTCTTCTTCTTCCTGTTCTGTCACATTTCTTCTCTTTCAGCAATCTATAGCCTTTCTAAAGTTACATAAATTTTTTTTAATTTCAAAATTACCCCTAAAATTACTTTCAACACAAACATGAGCTGGCCTCTTAGTTGAAAGAATGGAACGGCTTTTTTATTATATATAGATTATTGTTATTATTATTATTATTATTATTATTATTATTATTATTATTATTTGAAATTAGCATCCCAATCAAATGAAAATTTCAGATATTTTCAGTAAAAATCGTCTTAGAGATACTAACGCCGACATTTTTAAATTTTGAAATGAATATATAAACTATAATTGCTGGTGGTGTTTTTGCAGAGGATGTCAACGTGACGGGTATCAAATGGGTATTTTTTTTTTAATATAAAATTTAAATCTCATTTTAAATCAAAATTACCAAAACCTAATCTTAAACAAATGCTCAGCCATGCACGATTCAATCGCAGATCACAAATTTCATGTTCAGAATTGTGAATTAGAGGAATAAGTTCATGTAAAATTTGAGTATTTATGGTTATTCAATTTTGATCAGCTACTATTGTTTTTAGAAATCAAAATTGTAATATTTAAACTGAAAAACTACAGAAGATAATATCTTAGGCTATACTTAATTCTGGGATAGAATACCAGAAACAAAAGTTGTAAAACACCAAACAAAACAATCAAATTTAATAAGAATATTTCACTATTAAAATTAGAAGCCAGACATAAGCATGCTCTTACAATCAGAAGCAATTCCTTACCCTTGTTTTAACCACATATAAAACTGAAAAACAATTACATAACTTAAAACAGAGAATTCCTAAGATTCGTTTTCATCATCATCTTTGTCGTCGTTAATACCTCAAAAATCTTTAAGCAACTTTCGAACCTGTTCCAACGTAACAAAAAGGACCACCGTAAATGGTCCTTGTCTCGAGATCGTGGGTATAAACCCTTTATACAAAGCCATGGGCCCTTCCGCCTTCACCGTCTTGATGGCACAATCCAAAGCGCCAGCATATGGAGGCTTTTGTCCAGGCTCCACCTTCATGTTCATTACCCTTGTCTTGATCACATCAACAGGATTCGACGCCACCGCCGCAACAAACCCTGCCGAAAAACTCGCTGCCACGTGTGTCCCAAGTCCATCTTTCATCAACCCATTTTCCAAAATCATTTCTTTGATCTGATCGTAAGATGCCAGCTGCGATGCCGTCACCAACATCGCACGGTTCACCGTAAGCGATGAGCCGCGCCACAAGGAGGTAACGCCCTCTTGTTTAGTCATGCGAGTGATTGCGTCGATAACGCTGGTGTAGTTACGGCGTTGAGATAAAGGAAGGCGTCCGTCTGCTTGCATGCGAACCATTGCAACGTCGGCTGGGTTCCCGACAACTGCGCCGATCCCCCCGGAGATTAATCCAGCGGCAATTTTGCGCGGGAGAGGCATGTTTTTGGTCTCCTTGTCGGTCCATTTCTGTTTCAGGATGTCGTAGAGTCCCATGCGGGTGGTAGAATAGAGCGTCTGGCGGAGAACGGTGGCAGAGACACCGGAGAAAAGAGCTGCCACACCTTCGGTTTGGAAGATCCGGATTCCGGTGGCTACTGGTCCAACACGCACTGCCGCTGATGCTGACGGAGGTGGCATGTGGATAGCAGATGAGGTGGTGGTTGTGTGAAAGGCTAAAGCAGGGCGGAGGGTTTGGACAGCCGGGTTCGGAACATGGGTTTCACCCTGGAGTTGCATTCGGACTTTGATTAAATCAAGTGGGTGGGTGGAACATCCGGCCACAATTGATGCTACGCCTCCTTCAACAAATCCTTTGACTCCCATTTTGAGTTTTTTGATTCTTTAACAAATTTTTGCTCACAAAGTTAACAAGCCGAATGACCTTTGTCAAAAGGCAAAAGAATGAACAAAACTGACAGATTATGTTCAAGAAAAAATTGGAATTATTGTCCAAAAATGAAAAGAAAAAAGATGAAACTACTGAGACCAGTTGGAATTGGGGTTCATCTCACTGGAAACCAGGAGATGGGAATGGAGACCAAAAGCTATTGAAGAAGAGTGAGGAACGCTAGGCCTTTGAGACATATGCTGAGGAAAGATCTTTTTTGTGACAAAGAAAAGTAGTAAAGCAAATGAATGGATGATTTGGTTGCGAGCTGGTGAAGATTATTTATAGCTGCGTCGAGGGTCGTCGCGTGGGGGTTCAGCGAAGGCAGGTCGAAAATCCCGGCAGTTACGCGATAATTGGAATGGGAACATTAAAAATTGGGAAGGGACTCTTCCTTGGCCGTGTCTAACGCGTTTGTGTCTTTGGGTGTTTGGATGCTACAATCCTTCACCTCTCAATGTCATCAAATTATAATACTCTTTCCGTCCTAAATTATTTGATCGATATTAATTTTTATGAAATTTAATAAAATTTTTAATTTTAATATATTTAGTATTAAAATTAAATTATTTTATAAAATTAAAACTTCATAATTTTTAATATAAAAAATAAAATTTTTATATTAAAAATAACATAATTTTGGAATATCTAAAAAATAAAAAGACAGAAAGAGTTTTTTTTTTTTTGCAAAATAGGCTCAAGCGTGCTACGAGTCTACCAGGTAGAAGCGTGCCCAAACACAAATTGAGAAAAATTTGTAGTTAATTCAAATTCAAATGTATCAACTTCTGTTTTTTTTTTGGTTGGGTCAAGGACTCAATGGGAGCTCTAGTTTCTTATGATTGGACGGTCTTACGTTTTGTATGCGACCTTTTAGCTATTTCATTTCATACTTCGTTTCTTAATTTGCTATTTCATGTGCATGGTCTTGACCATTTAAGAGGAATATTAGTCAAAAAAAAGCAATTAAAGCTTCATAATTTTGTTTTTTGTGATAGAAAAATCTGTTGATATGTACGGTTTTTATCATTAAAATAATGTATAATTTGGTTGACTTTGTCAGTAACAACAAAAAAACTGTCTTCATAAACTTCTAGAGTTCAGATTAGCAACTTCGCAAATTCCAATGTCAAATAAAATTAATTGTGTACTTAACAACTAGACAAAAGAAATTAGGTTCAAAAAAGAGCTAAAACATTTATTGCGTTTTAATTAGGCTTAATTATCAGCTAGTGCCAACTGCTTACAAGGCATAGAAACGAATCCTGAGTCAAAATTACATATTTATAATTCAAATTTTAATTTAATTTATTCATATAAATATTTTTTAAAAAATAATATCTAACAATTTTCATATTTAAATTTTCAAAACGCTACTCCTTTCATTAAAAAAAAAAAAAAAAACCTAATTTCTGTGACGGTTCGTCACGATGGGTAATAATGGTCGGAAGAAATACGGATCCCAACTAATTCGGTTAATGATATTACTGGTTGAAATCATCCAACTTTTTTCGAGAAAGTGTAATTGACTTACTGGGATTCCATTTCTCTACTTGGAAAGTTCATTTCGGGCCTTTTCCGGTCCTTTAGACGCCAGCCACGTGTCCGTAATTAATTAAGTGTTGAAACATCTTTGGAATCGTGGACTTGACTGACCGGGTCAGGCATGACCCGGTTTTGGTCAGCGCTGGTGGGATTTGGGGTAGGCTTTTGAGTTTTGGGCCGCTTTGAAAATCTTAACGAAGTTACCATGTTATTGTCATCGACTAAAACATCTTACTTGGTCTCAATATAATACTCCAACGTTATTTTCATGTTAAAAGTAAAATAAGAATATTCAAATTAGGAGGGAAAATAGGAGCAGAGAATAATATTTTTTCTCTTTGACTTGGGAGACTTGTTCAGCCGTTGAAAATTGAACTTTTTACGATTTATTTAGTAGTAAAACAAGAGTAATTTTTATTATATTATAATTACATTTTATAATTAAATCTTTAAAAATTTAATTTTGGAGTGCAATTGCAAAGTCTTTAGAATGAAATTCTTTCCTTCAAAAGGTCGTGGTGCGCCTTTGTGACGCTCTCCTAGCCAATGAACATTAGCCAAGATGGTAGGAGGTGTGGTAGTTATTGCAATTGGATTGGCCCGTGGTTTGATACAATTTGCCAAGACTTGGGTTTAAGCAAAACTTTAATTATCAATGAGGGGGTGACTTAAATGATTAAATCAAGTGTACAGCACAACAATTTTACTCCTTGATATAGAAACAAATTATAAGAATATGCATGTTTTTTAAGCATGGCTCTTTGTGGGTAAAATATACCAAAGGTGTAAAGGTAAATTTTTATATTATATATTTTATAAAGATATATGACAAGTTAGCTTAATTTCATAAGAAACCTCGTTAACTCTTTGTTAGAAGTATTTTTGAGTTCAAAGGGTAAAATGATCTTTTATCTCTTTAGAGACTATTAATAGACAATTAAAGGTATTTTTAATTTTTGGGCCTACTTGACATGTATAATGCCAAGTTAGCTCAGCCACGTCACCAATTTATCTTGCGATCCCCTTACCTTCCACCTATAAATAGAGTCATTCAGGTACTATTTAAAGATCTTACTTTCTTTTATTTTCTCTCTATTTTACTCTTTTTTTTACTTCTTATAATCAATTTCTGACTTGAGTGTCAAAGTATAAATATAAATAACACTTCCTACCTTTACCTTTAATCACTCTCTTCTTCTCTCTTGTGATTTTAAGATTTTACCTTCAGCTTGGAGTTCAACACAAACATTTTGCACGTCAAGTATGGGCATATACATTCTTTAGCTAAGCTAAACAATATATTGCCCCGAAAAAGAGTTCCTGAAGAAAGAGAGCCAACTGTTCCCATTGAAACTAAGACCCATGTCAGCCAACATACAAACCGACCTGCACCTGCATAAATGGGACTAACCATAAAACAATTCAAGCCCTAAACATCAAAATCCAATCCCTTAAACAACTACTTTGAAGTATTAAATGAAGTGAAGTGCCAAATCTATGGGAAAGGTTAAATAGATCTATTTATTTATGATTGAATTATATTTGTTCGATACAATGTTGTCAATATGATAGTAAATTTTCAATATAAATGTTGAGAAAAGAGTAAAGAATATAAAAAAGACAATAAAAATCAATAAAAAAAAGAATTAAGTTAATTTTTTATTGTATTTTTATTACTAATCAATAATAATGTGTATTATTAATATTTTTTATTTTTATATGTTATTTTCTCTGTTTTTTTATCTTATTTTATGTTATTTTTTTTTTTTTATCTTATTTTATGTTATTTTTTTAAATGCAATTACTTCATTTATTCAATTGATCTTTTTTCTCTATATTTTATATCAATAAAATTAGCTCAATAAAATCTGTTATAGAACACGGTATTCTATAGTAGCAAAGCAATAAGAAATACGAATAATAAATAAAAAAGTATGAATAAAACAAAAGAAAACCTTACCATAAACTTCTAAAGTACCTAACATAGTCACCTTCGGTAGACAATCAGTAGAGAGACAGCCGAGTTACGAAGATGTTGAAGCCTCATTCGTCTTAAAAGAAGAAGAACATACCACTCTAACCACCCACCACCATTACCTTAGACATAACTCCACTCATGCCATTGTCCATAAATCCAAATAGACTAACTTGGAAACCTAATCAAACAAAAACCTGAAAGCCAATATACAAGTCATGGAAAAAGAATTGAAAGGAAAGGCTATTACATTTAAATATGAGCTAAGGTTTCTGGAGACCTTGCCTTTTACTGTAGAAATAGATTGGACTATGCCTCTCAAAATGTTCAAGATGGCTACCTTAAAACTTATGATGGTATAATTAACCCCTGTGATCATTTGAAACTTTACAAAACTAACATAATGATGCAAAAAGTAGGTGAAGCTCTCATGCGTAAAGGTATGGCAACGACACTCAAAGGGGCAACTCGATCCTGGTATGGTGGTTTAAAACCTAGGTCTATTACCATATTTAAAAAGCTTAGTCATGCATTCTTGTCTTGTTTTGTCTGCAACAAGAGAACAAAAAAAATAGCACTCAGTCTGATGTCTATCTATCAAGGCATAATGAGTCTTTAAAAGACTACGTAAAGTATTTTAATACAAAAACCCTTCAAGTAAAAGATTTAAAATAGATCCGTTGCAGTTGCCACCTTGACTAGTGGACTCAGTGATAGAGAGTGTCACATGAAGCTTACACTTTCCCTAAAATAGTAAAAGACATTAGTTTACATGCTATTTAGAGCGAAAAAATATATAAATATTGAAGCTACAATGAAAAATCAAGGTGAATAAAGCTTATCTCCCTACCTAGGCCAAAAAAGACAAGAAAATTTATTTTTTCCCCCAAAAAAGAGACAAGACAAGAAAATTTACAATCCTTCCTCAAGAAGAAGATAACAAGGGTACCATAGGGTCAAGAGTTTGAACAAACAATGAAACCATACAACATTGAATACCTCTAAAGAAAGGATTTTGAAGCAAATAGAAAGGACCCCGAACTCATATGGCAAAGTCACAAGGTAGAATACCTGACGAGACCTTAACAAAAGATACGCATGTTATAAGGACTTCAGCTACAATGTTAAAAATTATGTCGACCTAAAAAATAAGATAAAAAGTCTTATTAGAAGAAGTCGGCTAGGTAGATTTATGGATCGACTAAGATAGGGTTAAGATAGACTAAACTACAGAAGAAAGAATAAAATAGAAGATCCAAAAAAGAAACAGAGGAAAGACTAAAGGAAAATCGAGGTGGTGAAAATCCAAGGAATGAACATAAAAAAAAAGGCCAAACTATAGACCACTAATCCATTAAAGGCATCAATAATATAATAATTGGTTAGAGCTCTATCTTGACCAAAAAAAATTTTGATAAAGGGATTATCATGGCCATTAGGTCCTCGACCAAAAAAGAAAAAAATTGAAAGATGAGTTGACCTTTTTTAACTTAGAGGATTTTAAAATGATTCAGTTCCCTTATGATGATACAATAGTGGTTACTACTGTGGTGTACAATCATTTAGTGAAAAAGATCATATTTGATAATGCAAGTTTAGCTTATGTACTGTACTATACCACCGTATATAAGAAAAAAATGTTGAAACCATCCATTGCCAATTTGATCGATTTTGGGAATAAGTAAATGCCAGTAAAAAAAACTATCAGGTTGCCAATCACACTGGGCACTGAGTTGAAGAGCAT